GGTCATTTATTCTTCCTTAGAGGTTGACACTCACTGGCACTTTTCATCAGATTTGTCCCTTGACTTACTCTGGCCTTGCTCTTTCTGCAACTATTGGGTGAAATCTTGCATCCAGGGAGGTTGACAATGCCCAACACACCTTATTCATCCTCTGGCAATTTCATCTCCATCTAAACTTCTTCTCCCTCCAATTGCCATTCCTCAGTCTACTCGTAAGTTTAATACTTCATTTATTTCTTTACCTACTTTTAATAATAATCTCATTTCTACCTTGGAACCAACCCAGTGGCCAGTGTTCCATCACAGGGTATACTCATGTTCCTAACTCTGCATTGAGTCAGAGCTAACAGAAAGTGTTCCTATGTGCCCACTGTTGAGAAGGAATTTTCTGCAAGACCACTATGGTGTAAATTTCTCTCTATTCATTCCAGACCATACCTTCCATGGGCTATCATGGTAAAAGTCAGTGCCTGCCTATTTCCCTGGCTCATGCATGCTGGCTTTCCACTTTCTTTGATGCAGCTTCCACCTTTGTGGCCAGATTATTTTTTTTTCCTTTAACCCTATCATCCAAGAATAGTTTTCCTTCATAGTGGTCTGTGTGGCACCATCCACTCACTCCTGGCTATATGTAAAAATGTTAGCTTTTCTTTCGTGGTTTAGGCTTTATTCTGTTAGATACTTTTTATTTCCTCCATAGTTTTTTTTTCTCTTTTTAAAATTCTGTGGCTTTTTCAAATTATACTTCCACCCTGTTTCCTAATATCTTCCAATCCAATAGTGTAGTCAATTATGAAACTTTGGGTGAACCATGAGTTAGGATGGATAGTTAAGAGGTGTACAAACCCTTGAAAACAAACAACAGGGAGCTAAAGAAACAGCACTACATATGGGTATTTGCATGGGGAAGCCATCATGCACACTCTGATTGGATGGGTCAGAGTGGTGAATGTGCAGGTTGTACCACACTTGTGGCTGAATTATTTTACTAGTCTTTCTTGCTCCTACTCTATTCACTTTTTAGCCCTTGGATTTTTTTCTAGCATATTAGATTTTAATGACATAAAACAGTAAAATAAAGGGGACAGTGTTGTATTGTATGAGTTAATAGCATTTAAATTTTATATCAAATTTTAATGATTTAAATTCATAAAGTATAATATTGTCCTTCTTTTGTATTAATATGAACCTGAAGTAGCTTTTTGGTTTAGTTATCATAAATATTCCATTGAAAGCTGTCCTTTAGTCATTCGGTGCTTCAGAACTATGATATTCAGATATGTATGCCAGTGATATGTATTTTTTTCTAGGAGTGGATTATATTTTTTCAGTGAATGGTATTTTACTTCAATAAGTAGTGTTCAGTATTTTAAAATTTTTCTCTAAACCTTGCTGCAATGTGAACAAAATAACATCATACATTTCACAAAAGAATGGTTTTTGTGTTCTGTTTCAAAATGGAAAGACATTTAAATTGGATCATATATTTTGATATAGGAAAGTTTAAAATGTGTTTGAGTTCAGGCAGAAACAAAACCTTTGACAAAGAAAGAATACATGCGCATAAGTCACAGAAAGCATACAGATACTTGGGGAAGGATATATGCAAAAAATAAGCAGATGACTGACATGACAAGAAGTGACTATGAGAATTATTTTGTTCAGGTAGAAGTAATGGCATCCAAGTTGTAGCAAACATACAAGACACTTGTTTGCCTTGATCCCATTGGAAATGTGATGGGTGGGGTATGTGGATGTATTGGTGTGTATGTAGCCTAGGAATTATACAATTTTTGTGTATTTTGATCTTTATCTTTTCTATTTTGAAAATTAGAGGCTGCCCTGGTAGCATTACATATCCAAAACACTAGAAGTTTGATAGTATGGTTGTTATTTAGTTATAAATAATACTTGAACAGCTAATATGTTTAAGAGATAAAAAGAATAACAAAACTATATCCAGGTATAAAGATTACAAGCACTTACAAAAATTGATATAATGGCTAAAAGAACTATTGTAAACAATATAAGTTTTTGATATTATCCATGCAAATGGTGTTTTAAATTTTATATAGTGTGTAAATAATCAAACCGTGATATATAAACATGTTTCAGTATGCCTCAAATCACTTTGAAGTATTTGTTTGTATAATATGAATAAATTTGTAATAAAAGTCCACTCTCCCATCGTCAATAAATGTTGCAAAGTCCATTTAATCACATTATGCATTCATATTTAAATGATCCTATAACATTTTTGATCAACTTGTTTCACTTCACTGCTTTTTCTTTCACCGACAGTGACAATGCCTCCATTTTATTTAATCATGCATTTTTAGACACTCTCGCAGACTACATTAATGAGTAATGAACTGCAAACAAACTGTAGGGTATTCCATTCAAGTTAACTGCCCTGTCCCAAATTCTTCCAGATCTCTCTTTTTTCAGTACTCAATTTAGGGATTCTAACCCGCTGTCTGTCAAGAATTTCCCCGAACGTAACAACTATCTCCCAAATTCTTCCAGGTCTCTCTTCACTAGTCAATGTAGATATTCTAATGCATTGAGTTCCTGGAAGTACAGTACTTTAAAATGAAATTCAATACAGTAGCTGCTTCTAAATGATACATTTCTTTTATTCATCTTGATGCTGTGTTTGGTTCTGAACAGGATGACTTTAGAGGCATAGAGGCAATAACAAATTAGTAGGTAAAACCTGTTGTATACATGAGTACAATTGAAAGTTCAATAAATAATGGTTTTCCGTAGAATTTTTGACATATATTGAGAATGAACAGTATCTAACAGTTCAAAAGGAAAGCATGATAAGAAACTCACTTGATAATATTGCTCAGTGTCAAATTAACTTGATAATATTGCTTAGTATTTAATTTGAAGTAAGTGCTTATTTGAATTACATCTTAATTACTCTTATTGTTTCATAAGTTTAACCCAGAAAAGCATGGAACTGTAAACTTGCACAATATTCTTTTTTTTCATCAAATTATGTGTCCTCTCCCCTCAGACCTTAGCCATGAATCCATAATAAAGAATTTAAAATGTTTTCAACCTTCCAAAATATTTCATAAAAACTAAAAACATTTATGTAATTCCATGGGTTAAGTAGTTTTTGTTATTTAAAAGTGTGAGTTAATTTTCTTTTCAGATAGATACAGTATAGGTGAGTATGGTATGCTACCAGAAAATGTCTGCCTTTGTTGTCAGTAACAATATAAATAGAACATTTTCTTTGAACTTATATGACAATGACCTGTTTTAGTTTTAGCTTAAGTTTATGAATAAGTAAGCACGCACATACTATATGGAGGCTATGATCATCATTGGTCTTTGCCGAGATCTTGAAATAATTGGAATAGGTCAATATGCACACTCATCTAGTATGTGTCCCAATATACTTGATTTATTTGTTGCTCTTAAATTTGCATGTTTTTTTCACTTGTTTCATTAGTTTTCGGACAGTAAACATAAAAGTATTAAATTTATTGTTGAACATCTGCAAGATCAAAGACTTGCATATTTGGATATATTAATTCATAATTATGATGGTGACTTTGAATGTGAAGTTTACCACAAGAAAGCATTTAATGGCCTTTAATTTGATGTTTCAAGTTATGTGCCAACTGTGGCTTAACAAAACCCACTGAAGAGTTTAGTTCGTTGTTAACACAAAATCTCAAGTACTTGTGATTTTTAGCATAAAGAACTGTGCAATATCAGGAATTTTATATGCAAGCATGACTTCCCTATTTATCTGTTTGTATGTTAAAAACAAACCTAGCACCCTACTTCATAGTTTGTATCTGCATGTACAACTGCAATGCTCTTTATAAACATGGATGCCATATGTTGTATTTTAACGGATATAAAGATTGTCTTTCTTCATTGGAAACATCAAATGTAGTTTATAAATTTATATGTCCTTGTTGAAAGCAAGGTTACATCTTTTCTATGACAAGAAAACTGCTGATACAAGTGAAGGAATATGCAAATTTAAGAACACCAAATAAATCAAGTGAATTGAAACATGCCTTGTGTAAGTGTGATTTGGTCATCCTTTCAAATTATTTTAAGATATTTCCAATAGCCAATGAGGAACATAGCCTCCTTATAAAAGAGAACTTACTCATTCATAAACTGATGCCAGAACTAAATCAGGTTTTCTCATCTTGTAAACTGTTACTTACATTTTTATTGTCAAGTTTAGTCAGTAATGGCATCACATCAGTAAATAAGTTATATATTTATTTTTAGGTGGTTAGTAACCAGACATTACCTCTGTCAAATAATGTGTTACTTGGGCAGTCAGCTCCTGTGATAGTGTCAACATCTCAACCTCTTATCACTATGAAATCTTCAGTGTCTGTTTCCCGAGTCAAGACAGTTGCTCCAGTGCTCAAACCTACACAAGCGGAAGAGCAAAAGGTATTATTTTGTTTCAATATGTTGGTTTCTCATCCTTTAACTTGCTTAAAATTAATTCTCCTTATGCTGTTTTTTAGTAACTGTCAGAGGCTGTTTTAGCTTATTTTCTGTAATTAAGTTCTTTACTTGTAGATATTATGTAACTCCTATCTTTTATTTATATATATATATATTTGCATCAATTTGTACTGTTCACTTAAAACTTCTACACAATGATACATGGACTGTTATATTCAATAGAGTTAAATATAAGTTTACTTGTAATTTTTGTAAAGCACTTTGTAACACAGCAGTTTTTGTAATGAAATTTGTACAATAAATAAATATTTGTTGGTGATAAGCTGATACAGTCAAGATTTAAAAAACAACCTTTATTTAATTCTGAAATGTTAACAAATGTGTAGAAAATGGTGGGTTCTTCATCAGACAGAAAACAAAACATTTCAACTACATGTTTCTAATAAAGAGGATATGAAGGTGGGTGTTTTAAAAAATTACATGCATGCATTAAGTATAATTCCAACATGGTACCTTACTTCCACTCACATGCATAGCTATTCTCATTCAGTGCAATACTTTCACTCCCACGTACCTCTCGGTTCCCATGGTTTAACTTATTCTCTTATCCAAATTATCATACGACAAGCCTCCACCAGCAGATGCACCCCTACACACATGTGACTCCCTCTATGCTGTTCTACCAATTATCACTTCTTGTTTGGCAGTGCTCATGTTATTGTCCTTTTCTTTTGTCCCAAGCCCAATTTTCTTGCCTTTATCTTACCCTTACGTCTATCTTACAGTACTTGTCCACCATACAACTCCCCTCTGAGGTGATCCATCAAGATCCTGAGGGTTTTTTAGGAGATTCATTTGCCCCAATTACATTCTTCTTGGCATGTATGTTGACTTCAGCTCTTTCTTTACACATGTGGTTCCTATCTTTTGGGGGAAGAGACATTTTGTCCCTCATACGTTTGCCATCTTCTTATCTTAAGGACTTACACCTGACCTCTTTTCTCCATTGGTCGGTGTTTGGAGATCCTTCAGTGACTTTGGAATCCTGAGTGGAATCTGTGAGATAGCAATTGACTCTTTCCTTGACCATCTCATATTTCTGTTCCCTGTGGGTTCCTGTCTGGTGGGGGCTCAGTTATCCAAGTTTGTTCATCTATGGCAAGACTTTGCCAGGGATCTATGGGTCCTTCAGGCTTTATCCAAGGGATTTGTCATCAACTTCCTCTCCCTTTCTGTTGTCTCAGATACCTGTTTTCTTTCTGTTGCCTCGGGATCCTACCACATCAGCCTCTGTTCAAGGCAGTACAGGATCTTCTCTCTCAGAATGCCATCAAATCAATGGTTCACCCTTCTCCGGGGTTTTATTCCAGGCTGTTTGTTATCCCCCAGAAAACTAGAGACAAGCAGCCTATGATTGACCTGTCATGCATTAATCACTTCTTGGTGCTACCTTGTTTTACCATGGAGTTGTTTCTCACCCTCAGCTGGGCTTTTTCTCCTTGTTTATGGATTACCAAAGTCGACATCTCAAATGTTTATCTCCATATTCCCACATCTCAGCAGTCAATAAGGTACAGGGTGGTTTATAAATTTCATGCTCTACCTTTTTGGCTTGCTATGGCACTGTATGTCTTTTGTTGGGTGGTCAGTTCTTTTGCCGGACTTATGCATGCTCGAAGGTTATGCTTCCACCATTACGGGGTCAACTGGCTTGTGTTGGATCATTCCAAACTGGAGACTGCCCGACACACTCATCTGTTTCTATTCTAGGCAGCTTGGGTCAGTTGGTTGATCAAGTTGGAGAACTCCTTCCTTGTTCCTAATATCCTATCCATTTGGGTGTTTTGTTCACCACTCATCTCAGTCAGGCCCAATCTTCTCCGTTTGATGGAGCTGGCAGTCATTAACACCCTTACTGCTCCTTTATTACTGCCTGTGAGGTCCTATCTCTTTTGGGGATGTGGTTTTTCTATGGCAGCATTTATCCCCATGGGTTATGCTCATATGAGATCACTTCAATGGACTCTTAAAGACCAAAGGAACCTTGTGTAGGATTCCTTGGATATTCTTATTACCATTCCTCCTTCCCTTATAGACGATCTGCATTGGTGGTTGGACAAAGCTCACACTTCAGCGGGTGTTCCGCTTCCTGAGGTTCACAATCAAATTATCAGAATCAAAACTATCAGAATAATATTACACTAAGTAACCAATGTAAATCCGCCCTAGCTAAAAGGACTTAATTTCTCTCTTCCTCCGCGAAAACTGAATTATGCCAATTTTCTTTATCCATTCAAACTGCTATACAGAAATCTGAAAGACCTTCCCATGTACGATAAAGGC